GCTCAAGCTTTATGAAACCTAATTTGAGGTGATGATTTAAGCTAATACAGTGGGGTTTAGCCAACCGTAGTTATGTAAAGTTGTCAGAAGAGAGATTTAATTCAGTATTTCTTGAGAAGTCAAAGCGTGGCTTCGTTAATGACTGTGATTTGAATGGAACCTCGGTAAATGACACCTTGAGGGTACAGCGCGCTCTGTGTGGTCATTGCTGGCCTTGCGAAAGGCCAGTAGAATTACCGTGATGGAGAGGCAGGGATGGCTGTGTGATTGCTCCCTAGCACGGAGGGTAACAGAAAGAGCAGTGGTTAGCATGTTTTGGCAAAAAATGAAGACAACCTGTCTTTCCTGTTATGCACCATGAAACTGGCATGTGTGTGAACCGACACAGGCAGGACACAGGAACAACCACAAAACCACGGATGAAATGCAGAGAGTAAGCTTATTTTCGTTACTTCATGAGCCGGGGGATCCCCGAGGCAGCACCCAGGCAGAAGCGCACAGGCACCGCGGAGCTCCGTCCTGGCTAGCGGATCGCCGGACCTGCTGTTTCCGCCTCTTTATCAAGGACTGACGTGGGCGTAGTTTATCAGCGTGCTTTGATCTTTCCCACGGCGGGGCAGGAATCTCCAGCATGTTCAACAGGGTGCCCCTAGGCCTATCACAATCCTATGTTATCTACACACAGACGTTCTGCTTGTCCAACACACAAGGCTGAATGACAACCAGTATGATGTATGTGTTCTCCTACAGCCTAGCTTCAAGCCAGTTGAGGATGTTGACAATCCTCCTTGCCAATCTTCCATTATTTTCCCACAGCATGGGCTCATTTTTTTTGTTACTTGGTACGTAACTCTACGTAGGCAATAGCTGAAATACTCTGAGAGTTGCTGAATACCCAGTAGTTATGGGTAGCAGGGGATGGGGGCTCAAGACTTCTTAAAAGTACCTTTTTCTAGGTTCCACTCTCGAGGATCCCAAGTTTTGACAATCCTAAATTTCTACTCAATTGTGAGTATCACTCCTTTTCCATGCAGCTCTGCTGATTTGTTGGGTTCTGCAACCAGGTCAAACTTGCCTAGGATATTTTCCCACATTTTAGTCTGGGAGTTTTTCCTGCAGTCCCCGTTTCATGCCTTGTGTGGCTCCGTTAGCGAACTTTGGCCTTTTCCTACATTGGTGCACAACGGAGTGTACAACTACCCCCATCTGAGTTCCCGGAAGTTTCTTCAGAGATGAAGCTGGACTGCTGTGCTGATAGAGCAGAAGCCCCGCACTCCGGCAAAACTTCAAGGGCCGACAGGCATGAAAATAGCAGTGCAATAGGAAACTGTAAGGCGATCTATTTTCTTTACGTAAGAGATGGCAATTGTGTTTCAGTGTAAAGATTTCCAACGTGAGTCTACAGAGCAGAGTAATATAATTTAAGACAAATGTTGCGTCATTTGTTTTTTTAACAGTATCTACAAAGACGTTATGCCCTGTCCCGCACAGCAGTCTTGAGCATAGTGTTTTGATAGTCCATTCAAAGTGCATCTCTGGCCTTCTCTCACCCACTTATCTAATTTAAATCTTGAATACTAGTTTTGAGAAGACCTATACGGTAGCAGAAAGTGCAGAAATCCCTCAAGACTGGCTGTGTACCAAGGGGAAGTTAACTCATCTGAACACCTTCCACATCTCCTTGTGTAATGAATAAACATTCCATACACCATAAAGGTCTGCATCCTGATGTTTCCTTCTGTGCTGTGTATATTGTGCTCACTGTCTGCAAACAGAGTAAATGTGGTTTTCATTCAGGCCATCAAGAGTCTACGAATTTCTTCTGCCTTCCAGGACAGAATTAATCTCAAATCATGGAGAATGGAGCTGATGGCTAAATTGTAGCCAAGCAAAATTTGGACTGCTGTGCTCAATAACACTGTCTGCATATGCTCCAGAAAAGAAAACTGGAATTTCAAGTGTCTGGTGGCTGCTGAATTGTAAGTGAAGGTATCATGGTCAGGAAGGCCTCAAACTCCAGATGCCTGAACAGAAAATAAGAAAGACCAATTTCAGAATAAGATACATATATATTTGAGTTGCAGAATGTAAAGGTTTCTGCTATAACATGTATAAATTCTACCATTCTTTGCAATTGCCTTCGTGAACCTTGGCTGGCTAATTAACGTGCCATTGCTGTTTGTCTGCATCCCTAAAGATGAAGATGCTGGCTGCGTGGATTGCCATGCTAACAAATGTAGGCTCAAGGGTGACTGTGGCATTTGCAGAGTAAAAATGCTGGTGTCTGAGTAAGACTTCCCCCCCCCACCCCCCCCCCCCCAATAGACTATTATAAATAAAATTGATCTGACAATTAAAGCAGAAGGTACAGTGGCCAAAATAAAATTGGTGAATTATTTGCATAGTTAATGTTCACTGTTGCTCACAGAAAAAGACCTGGGTTCAGAAACTGAAAAACACCCCTTAAAAATGTAAAGGTAAACCATTCTGATGTAGCGGACATGTAAAAACTCCCAGATAAGCTCCCCCATACTCTTTCCAGTACCTTGTGGTAGGTAAGACCCTTATGCTTGGGTGAAAATATCACTATAATCTGAATCCTGAAGATTACACTTTTGCAGTACTGAAAAATCTATCTGGAGGTATTGTTTCCTTGCTTATATTCCCCTCTTCCTAGATATTCATGCAAATGACCTAAAAAAAAAAAAATATATATGCAAAACACTTTCTCAAGTGTGTGTTTCACTGCAGAAAGGGTTTCTGTAAAGATCAAGGCCTGTATAATTTTAAAATAACACCATCCTGTTAACAATTAGCTTTAACATTTTGTTGGTGAGATGTAACCTTGAGTGTTTACTGAGAGCTGAGGAAAGAGGGCTTTGCAGTTTGGTTAGGAGGCATTTTTTCTTTACTCCATTGTTCTATTTTTAGTAATTTTTTATTAACTACTTCAATTATTTTATGTTGTTATGTATTTGGAGAATAGTTTAAATTCTAGACGTGCCTATTTCTGAAGTGGAACGAAAGCCTACAATTGCAGAAAGTGAAGCCTTCATTCCTTTCTTGGCCCTCACACGAAGACTGACAGCAGACACAGGTTTGTGCAGTATTTACAGGGGATCCACCTCCTCCTTTTGAGGCACATCTTGTGCTTTACTCTTCAGTTAGAAGGACGGGATGGTAAAAATTACACTTAGTTTTGCATCATCGCTAGCTTCTCTACATCTTTCATGTTTTCCTATCTGGCTGATCTACAGAGGAGTAATAAGGGCAATAATCAGTATATTGTCTAATTCTGACTAGATTGTCTAGACAATTTTTAGTAAAGACTCTAGCCATCATTGTATCAGTGGAGGATGGAGGATGGAGGCTTCCATTCTTACCAGCCTCCGCGAGCATTACAGTGGGATGCCTCGTGGGTGCCCGGAGAGTGGAAGAGAAGGAGGAGAAGGTAACAGTGACATGGGCCTTGCCAAACAGAAGTATCTACTGGGCTGTGGGGGTGCCTGACTTTGAAGCATACTGTAGTGATTTCAAACACCACCGAAAGCATGTTTTAAATACGTTTGTCTGTTAGCATGTTCCAGCTGCCATAAACTCCAAAATCTCTCTTGTGATACTCACGATCTTCGTAAGTGACACCACAGCAGCAAGTGATGGAAGTGCCCTGCAGTGACCGAACCCACTCTGCACACTGGATTTGAGAAGCTCTCCAGCATCTTGGCACGCTTGTTGGAGGAAGCTCAATAAATTACTGTAACAAGGAACTAAAGAGTTTAGTGCCTGTTAATGTAACAGGCAGTCTGGAATTTCCTGGTAACATCAGAGACTGGATATTAAGTGGCGTTTAAGTAACACTAACTTAACTAACAGGATCTTCCTCAAAAATGAGTCCCCCCAATCTCTTTAGCACCACTATTTGTAAAGACAAGGCACTGCTCTTTACAAAAAAACAAGTGCACCATATGGCTGTGGCAATTAAGACAAAATTGTCTATTTTAGATTCTGTTTCCAAAGCTTAATGAATATAGGTACCTTATATTTACAAATCAAAACATTCAGCTGACGATGCCGTCCCTAGTTAATCTGGAACAGGACTGCACATACTCTAAAAATGTCTGTCATCAGTCTTAAGAATGTGCTACAGTAAGTCTAAGAGGTAATGAGACAGAACGGAATTAGTTTAAGTAATAAATGTTTAATCAAAGAATTTTACATATTATTAACAGCATTCATTTGGCCAAACATCTACATGGTTGTAGTATCCTACTTGTATATAAAGTGGGAATGTATCAAGTATAGACTATGAAAGTGCAAATAACAATTCAAGGTTAGAGTAATTTTTTTACATTATAAAATTAACAGGTTTACAAAATAGTCTTGCCAAACTTTATTTCTGAAATGTAAAGTCAATGACTATGGTGTTAAAATAAGTACCAAGAAAATACAAATTTAATAGGATAATTTCATGCTCATAAGAGTAACACGGAAACAATGGATATACTGCACAACCTAACCAAATTACAAAAAACCAGAACCCACAAACTTCACTATCTTCACAGAGAGCACTCTTACGTATCTTACTGTAACTTTGCAAGACATCTCAATGCAATACACAATCTTTTTGTGAGAATCTTTCTATTCAGAAATTCCACTTCAATGAAGCTATGTGAGTTAAACAACTTTCAGACCCATTCATGATGACAGTTCATGAAGAACTGTTTTAGCTGAAGGATTTTTGTACCATGGAACACTTCAAAACAGGTGTTTTTCAAAGATGTCCAAAGGTTCATGATTATGTCAGGAGTAGGGCAGCTGGAGGAAAAGTTGGAAAATGATTTGAGACTATTGTATTCCTTTCTCTCCAAAGACGCTTGCAAAATGAACAAGGTTTTTGTGGGGTAAGGATAAAATATTCTTATTTCATTTTTTACTAATACGAACCTTGTGACTGCAAGGTTCAAAAGCTGAATTTGCATGAATTAGTTACCAAAACACTCACTTGAACTCACAGTAATCAGTACATAAACTTTGCTATCATGACACTTCCCTATACACACTCAGTAGTAATAAACTTTTATATCATATCAACAAATCTCTGGTAACAGTTAAGCAAAAATTAAAATGGAGCGTATGTAATTTGCTCGTGTCATGACAAGTTTTGATTATATGTAATTAAAACAGCCATTTTGACAACTTACTCTAGTTGTAGTTACATAGTGTACCATTGTATCTCACTAACCGTAGATTGATGCTTTTAAGAAAATCTAAAACCAGTTGTTTTTTTTTCTTCACGGTACAACAACTAGGAAAAGGGTTTTCTGTGGAGTTTTTTATTTTTATTTTTTATTTTTTTTTACACTAAACAGTAATCACATAGCAAATGAATATTGTGCAATTGAACAAATACCTAGCAGTGTTTTGTTTATGCAAAAACACTGACTGAACATTGAGTTATTTACTGTAAAGGCAAGGCCATGGGTGGTTTTATGGAGGTCTTTGCAATTAATAGCATAGTTACTCCAGAACAGACACTGAATTTGAATTACTTGTTTAACTGTGGCAACTATCCAGTTGGGTTAGGCAAAGGCACCGTAACATGTTGAGCAGAATGTGTTAACCGAACTTTAATCATGGGACTGGCTAATATATGAAAATTCTGTATTCCTCTATTTTTATAAAATGTTATCATTAAAAGTAATTGCACTATTAGTGCATAGAATGCTTTGTAGAATTATGAAAACAAAGAACTATGATTGCACTTCCATTAAAGTGTCTCTTAAAATACAGCATAGCTGTTGCTAACTCACTGTATTTTAATATTTAAAATAACTGTTTAACAGCAGCATTAGGTTTTATTAACTTAAGATACAGGCTACATTTAATTAAATGCAGTCACCATGGCAACACATGCCAGTTAAATTTAGAGAAGCAATGCTACCCAGTGGTTTCTTTCACTGCTAAGAATTGTGGGATTAGTCTGACAAGAGTAACACTGCACTGTTTCGTTGAGCTACCGCCAGCTAACTATTCACAGTTTGGCACACTTGGACTGCAAATAGACATGAAAAAATCTTTGATTTTAATGGGAAAGAATATCCCCTAAAACTTGTTCCTGGAGCAGTACTCAAGAGAAGCATTAAATACCTCCATTCACACTGCTAACCAAAATGAAAAATGAGTAAGGAAAAGTTAGGGAAAACGAAAAACCAAAATGCAAATGAATTGCTAAGTGTTATTTTGATGAAAGAATGAGTTCTAAAAAATGTAATAAACTATTTCTTAGGAAAACCAACCAAAATAATCAGTGTAAGCCTTTAATCCATACTTTCAAGTTAAGGATCATCAACCTAAGGCTAAACAGATGCTGCATTGTATTAGGAATGTGGAATACAACCTACTTATTCCTTTTTCTTGAGAGCGAAAAGGCAAGTACTACCTAATTAAATGCAAAGGACATTCCTTGAAAGGTTCACATTATTATAAAGAACTACAATTCAAGAGAACTCCTAAATATCCGTTGTTACATCAGTGGTTACAACTGAGCTGTAATTATGTGGATCAAAGCCTCCATAATGCTTACTCCACACACTGTACCATCTGTCACCGCCATTCCTTTACTCCAGATTTAGTTCTTACTCATACCAGATGCACATGTTCAATCCATTCACTTGAGGTTTGAGGAGTCTGACTTGAAGGATCTCCTGAAGCATCCCGGGTGCCTGTCATCTCCCGGTTATTATCACCGCTTTGTGATACTGTTTCACCTGGAATAACATTTTCTTCAGAAGTGCTTTCCTCTGTTTGGGTTCCTCTGCCTTCATTTTTGAGTGCATCCTCAAATAGTGCATGCTCTTCCTGAGGCTCCCGCCCTGTGTCTATGAGATTCGGCTGCCCTGCCAACCCATCTTCAGTACTGGGTTGCTGTGAATCCTCATCCGTTTCTGTACTTGTTGAGGGGATCAGAGCAATGCTCTGTGGGTTCATGTCATGAAACCAGGCCATAATATTTCCAAGTAGATTTTCATTGGTATTGGGATCCTGACTGCTGGAGTCAGCGTCACTAGATGTCGAGTATAATCCACTTCTTGGATCGCTGCAGGGGTGTGAATGAAGACGATCAGCTGAAAAGGGATCACTGCCTGCACCTAGTCTCATCAGACTGTCACCGAGTTCTAAAAGCTCAGAGCTGCTCAAAGCGCCTCTTGGATTATCTATACTTATGGGAGCAGAGTCCAATCTTGTAGGCAAAGAGGTCCCTATTGCTCCTAAAGATGCCTCATTGTTTAGAAAGTCTCTAGTTTCTTCATCTATGGCCAAGCCAGATTCTTGTAATGATAACTGAATAGCTAGCAGGATGTTTGGGTCATCTTCATCCAAAGAACTCAGAGCCTGTGGAAATACATAAGGTGGCTTTCAGAATAAAACTTTCATCCTGTTACATATTTTGGATTAAAAGTAATTTGGGTTCAAATCTGAAATCCATTCTGTATTCCTACATGTCATTTATCAGAATCACTTTCTACTAACACAGTTGAGAACAGAATTTAAAAGGTGACTGCAGTGGCATTAGTGATTGTTTAGCAATTCTTACCGGTGTGAATGTGTAACTTGTTGTCCTAGGTTCTCCCTTTCTCACCCAAGAATTAAGAAAATTTGCAGAGACAAAATGACACACAAAAGCAGAGCGGAGGAAGGCAAACAAAGCAGAGAGAATGGAAAAGAGATTAGGGGAGGTACCTGAAGAGAATCCTGGTTCTCAGAGCGACTGACAGGGGTATAGTCATGAAGCGAAGAGCTGTGCAGAATACCCATAGAAGCTGAACTCACCATGGAGGTGCCATGTCTTCTACTACTGCCACCTTCCTGCGTATCTGTTTGGGCAATGGAAACAAAAGTGGTTGACGAACCAGTAAGAAAGCCTCTTCCACTGTTACTTACTGACAGAATCTCTTCCTTTTGGATTCTGGCTGTGTGATTTTACTCCTTTACTGACTCTGAACTAAATAAACCCAAACACTCCTTCCCCACCAGCTCTTACACAGTGGCAAAACACCAGTCCCACTCTTTTAGGAGTGACCCTTCTTCACCTCTTTGAAAGGATGGGGTATGCCTTCCTCTTGGCAGGAGGGGCAAAGTGCTTCCAAGGCATGTAGATGATTTATGGGAAGTCCTGATAAATACTGCACGTGGACGCACTACAGGATGCATTTACAGGCGCATTACACAGTTTACCCATTTCTCTGTTCTTTCAAAGACAACAACTCAGCTGCAATGTTAACATTACATTAGTGTTTACGATAACATCGCAGCACAGTTAAAAGCAGAGTCATTAGTGTATACCTCAGCAATCACTGATATTGCTGTTTTCTTCAAACAGCCAACAAAAAATTAGTCGTAAAATGCTGTTTCCAAAAAAACTGCTCTGCAATAAAAATAAATGTAAATCTTTTCAATTTGGAAAATGTACTTTTCCACTTCAGAACTCGAAATAAGGCGAGACAAATGAATTCTCTCTCGCATGCTTTAACAGCATGCATTGGTCACCACTACAATATCCAGGTGTTCAGTCAAATTCTGGTCCTCAAACTAACAAGATGGCTTTGCATTTTACTTGCAATAGGGAAGGGCCAAAGCTCACCAAAAATCTTTTCACTTTTTGCAAAATGAAGAATGCATTTGTTTATTTCTTCTCAGTAAAGGATTTCTCCTTTTGTTTTGAAGGATGAGCTACATAGAGGACTTCAGCTCATGAGACACAGTGATGAGAGCTTGTGCAGCATGGCTTTGAGCACACAACTGGCATCTTTGAAGAAACAGCGTCACAGTATGATTTGGATTCGAGCTATTTTTGTACCTTCGTTAAATTTCCTGGCAGAACAGCCAGGGAGACAGCACAGACAGCCAAGTTACAGCGACCTTTAGGGACTGCACTACCAGCCGTAGCACGGCTTACAAGTGCAGCACGCTGGAAGTCGTAGCCCACGCCAACTTGTTTCCTGGCTGTCTCTGCCACTACGGGAGTTTCCAAGCAGGGTTTTGGAATAGGGCCTTATGACTCTCTTCAAGCAGGCCTGTAGCAGGGGAACCCTCTTCTACACTCTTTATGCACAACTTGTTCTTTCACTTTGAACTATAGAGCTGGTACAAAGAGCAGACTGTCATATGAAGTATGTACCCTTCAAATTTCTTCGGAAAAGCAAACCTGTTCTAAATAGCTGAGGAGTTGTCAGTGGGAAGATCAAGGCATTTCTCTTTAGAAAGAGGAGCAGCCACAATGAAGTCAGCAACACTTCTAAGATCACATACAAAAATGCAAACCCAAGCCTTTAAGCTGTATCCTGGAAAATACAGCAGTGTATTTGAAACTTGCTTGTATCCACAGAAGAACGAACACTGCCATCACTACTAGCAGTTTCTGAAGTAGGAAGAGGAAAAAACAAACAGTCCCAGGCAGGAACATACCTAATGTACTCTCACTGGGGTCGTCAGGATCCGGGGTATTACTCAGCAGACTGTGCATGTCTCCACGTCGACGCTGCCTGTGCCTCCTCCGATACTGAAATTCAGCATATTCCTGCATAAACCAAAGGTTACAAAATACAGGGCAGCATGCAGTAATATTGTTCTGATGCAACAAGCACCACATTTTTTATTAAAAATGTGTGATTTTATATGTTTATTATAAAATCACCTGTTTTCAGAAAAATAAATTGCAAGTTATATCATGCAATACTTAACATAAATAATAAAATAAAGTCCCAAGGTAATCCTAGATCTATAAAATAATGAATTAGCAAAGAAAAATACATGACATATTACCGACATTTTAATACTTGCAATCTCCCATTTTAAAGAATTCCAAGTACACCTTTTTTTTAAAAGCTTTGATGCCAAACTTTATATACCCACACATCAACACACTTTTTAATAAATGTATGCCTACTGATTTTAGAACACAAAACCCATTTATCTGAAACAGATCAATAGATTATCTTGGAGTTCCTGTTGCCAGCAATGGTCAGAAGGCTACAGAAAGCTGTCAGACATACACTGGGACTAGTTAGACTTCTCCCAGCCTCCAGGACACTATGGCTCAGGGACTTCATAAGTCACAGCTGATACTCTGCTACTGAACAGTCTTTGATGGATTTCTATTCTGGGAATTACACACCTCCTCTATCTTTGCCGAACTTGAGCTGGTAACGAGCCACACCTTATGGACTTGAACTCCTGCCGCCTGTAATTTCTCGTGTTGTATTTACCACAGAGTTTATATAATATTTATGGAAAAGACTCACTTTTGGCCACATCAGGCTAATACCACAAAGGTTAATTATGTTAATACTTGGAAATAAATTATTTATTTCCATACCTTTCCTAATATTAAGAGACTAATTTTATGCTTGCAGGCGAATTTCCAGATATGCTTTGTGGTTAGTTCAGCTGACACTGAAGCTGACTGCGTAGGCAAGATCTCTTGTAAGGTTTCTTGTTAAATCGCAGTTACTCATTTACACAAGGCAATAAAAATGTATACACAGGTACTAGCTCTTCTCTTCCGAAAAGAATATTGCTATTTTCTTCCCTAAGCCCCAGACTGGGAAATCTGTAACCCAAAGGCTTCATTTGGCCAAATGACCTGGGAAAGATAACAATACCATTAGCTTTCCTTTCTTACATTAACTCTTCATCCTAGAATATCTCACCATCTAAAGTACCTAAATTTAAATCCAGAAGTGTGATTTCTCTTGCACAATGCCTTATTAATTTTGATGGTATGTTGTCTTTCCATGAGGTGTTTCAGACCAAGTCCTTATGCATAATGACATATAGAAGCCACAAAAGAATAGTCACAAAATGATCAGTGTGGGCAGATTTTTATCTATGCAAGATCCATGAAAACTGTAAAAACACAACACCAGCTGTACTGGACCAGCCAAAAGGTCCATTTAGCAAAATACTCTGTCTTCAACAGTGGTGAATAGTAGGTGCTTGTTAGCCTATGGAACAGCCTATAATCCCAGCTCCTAGGGAGCACCGGGATTTCCTAAATGGAAGGTGATGCCCCAAACAACAGAAAAGCAAATCTTGATATGAAACAATATAAGTGATTTATTTAAAAAATATATAATTATACAACTATGAATGGTATAAAGAATAATGAGAAGTGATCATTGAACACTAAGATTTATTAGTTATATCAGATCTTATCTTTTAGCTGTTTGCAATAATAGATTTTACCAATAGCCATTTAACTTTTAGTTGCTTTTTAACCTTTAAAAAGATATCTTGATTACTACTGATGTGATGTTACTTCTGGTTACTTGAAAAAATTTTATTCATGTGAACAAAAGGCATTTTAATTCCATTGGACAGGAACAATGCTCTACAACATGCAGTGTTCCTTGCAAAACCAGTAAGATTTTGTTTTCTGTAACAATCTGGTACACACAGACATTCTACTACTTGTCAATAAAAGTAGAGCTCTGTATCGAAAAATTTTTAGTTAAATTCACTAAAATAAACAAAGGTGAACATTATTAATTCTACAAAATCATTTAGCACAGGTGGTTGCAAGTATCCTTGACAGCTATGTAGCAAAGAAATCAACTTGCATCATACAGTGACACATTTAGGCAAATCATAAAATCTCATAAGCAATCATCTAAGCACAACTGCAATGGCACCTACTGCTAAACAGCTCAACATATTTCCCATCAGCTTTTTCTCATAACCAGTTCCACTGACGATACAGTAACATCACAATGAGTTTGATATTATCAAATGTGGAATTATTTAAAAAAAACAGGACTAGAGGAACTAGACAGGAGAAGCAAGTTGATCTTTTGTAGAGAAGCAAGCTTTTTGCTCACCAGCATGATGCTCAGTGACAACAATAGCAAAGGAAATATATAGAAAAAGCACATGGGAGTTTCCCAGGATGCTTTAAAATAACTAGCTGGAAAGAAAACTGCACCAAGGAAATGCTGAAATGCAGTTTCCTTCCTAACTTAGTGCTTTTACCTAATGTTCTCAAAATATTAAATAAAAATAAAGATGATAAAGGAAAACTTTATAGGAAGCTTCTCATATTTTAGTTCAGAGTCTTGAAAATTATTGACTTTTCCCATATACAGATAGTGCAATATTCATTTTAAAAATTATGATTTTCATTCTCGGTTAAGTAGAGGTTCATCTCATCTGAGTATGCAATTTCCATTTTGCTTCAATACATAAAAATAGAAAGAAACATTTAAAAAGGCTAATATTTAGGTGTATGCTTGTATGTTTTGGTTGGATTGTTAGGGGATGGAAACTTTTCAGACTTTTAGTCAAATTCTGCTGAACTGATGGTGCATTCAAAAGTAATCTACATATTTTCATATATTTATTGATTGGAGGTTCTCCAGCACATAGACACCAGTTTATATACAATTTTAAAACTGGTTATGTACTTGGAAAATGATGAATACAACATGTCTAATGCCACCTGAAATAGCTATAGCCATGTTAGAGGCGTTGTTTAGAGTCCTTATACAGTCAGCTATGCATATATTTCCTTCTATTGTGAAATAAATAAAATGGTAAGCTTAAACCAACTTGAAAAGTTTGAATCAAAAGAAGAAAGCTCTTCATGCAGATTGCAGTCATACCTGTGTTTCTAGAATATGCAGAACTAAGTTAAAAAAAGTGAAAAGAAATAGTTTACCTCGGGGGATGCAAATCCTAAATATTCCCAATCCCATGTTCCACCAGCAAAGCTGTAAAATGAAGAGATATACCATGAAGTTTAGAAGTAGAACAACAGATGAACAGCCTCTAGAGCTTCGAAACCCATCATCATCTAGGAAGTAGTGCAACTGTAACTCTCTAAACTTAATGAGTCTTCTGCTTTAATTCTTACTGCAAAATTCATTTGGAAAACCATACAATTAAATTATTGACTGTTCCAGAACTGCTTGATATTTTTAGCACGTACTTATAGATTTTTTTGAGTGTATCAGGTATTTAGTGACAATCTTGAAGGAAAAAGTGAAATGGAAGGCACATCATCTCATCATTAACGTATCACAATTTAGGCTACCACACACAGAGCAGTGATTCTCAAACACATTTTTCCTCAGTGAAAAGCTGTAACTCCATGAGGATCAAATGGCCAAGAAAATGTCACTACCTGGCGATTTACAACCACCACGTTTAACGGTTCCACTTCACCTCCCTGTCAAGGAATGACAGTGGATTCACCCGCTTTGGCAGCTGTCAGTGGACGTTCATGACTTGCGTGGTACTGTGTTTGGATTACCTGCGCCTGGGTGCTTCGGGAGAGTCTGCAGGAGCAACACCACGGGCCACAGAGGCCAGAAACTCCTGCCGTTTCTGCTGCACAAGACAAGCTGCCCGGATGATTTTATGGCGAGGAGTCCGAAGGTAAGGCCTGTTCACTTTCTGTGCAAGGTCTTCAGTGACCATTTCTAGGTCTGTCTGCAACAGTTATTAAACACAGAATAAAATAATTTTACAATGAAATGAAAATTGGGCAGAACTCTACACCATAAATAATGAGCAGAATGATATCCATTGTCCTAGAAATACCATTGGAAATTCCAAAATACCCCAAAATGTGGGAAGGGGAAAGGGAAGGAGGGCAGCAGCCCCTGCCACAGATGCCACCGCCACCCAGCTACTCCTCCAGTTCTGCCCCCACCCACTTGTCAGAAATGTTA